GTTTTTAATTTAATTTATCTTATAACATAATTTAATCTTATAATTTATTATCTTGTAATTATATTGTAATATAAGATGTAACAGGAGCCTGGCCCAGGTTGGTGACTGGGTTAGGGAGGAGGCAGAGCAGGGCAGCTGGTGGGAGGGAGCACAGGGAGAAGGGGGTCTGGAGCTCCACCTTGGCTGGTGTTCAGTGAGGGACCTGGTATGAAAACCAGAGCATGACAGACACAACCCTCGGAGGCTGCAGGCCCTGAACAGGCCAAGAAGATCCACTTTTGGTGCCGAGAGCCCTTGTGTGGACCTGCCAGCTCACCTCAAGTCAGGAGCAAGGCCCCTGCTAGCTCAGGCACCACTCCCCAGGCCACAGCCATGGTCTTTCTAGGGGGGGACACCCTAAAACAGCAGCCTCATGGAGGCCCACCCAAGGACATGGGGACAACTGGCCAAAAGCAACACAGACACCTTCAGTGAGTTGTTTTTTGTGTTTTTTTTTTTTGTTGTTTTTTTTTAAATACATTTATTAACCAATGTTAACACATTAAATGACTCTATATATTGCTAGTCAGAGCAGCTTACAAAATGCCAGAATGCATCATAAACTGGACAGCCACAATGAATAATTACAATGTGCATAGTGGCTAAGCTCAACACTTTAATATAGCTTTATGATTTGCAGAAAAATTAATTTTAAATCATGACTCCTAAAACAATCAATTGTAATTTTACCTAAAACTTATACAAAACCAGGCCACAATCTTTTTTTTTTTGTGTTTTTTTTTTTTTTTTTTCTTTAAAACACACAGTTTTCACGCTGTAATAACTTGGAAATGTGCAACCGTGTCAACAGAGACAAAAAAGCCAAAGTAACACGAATCTTACTTTCATGCAGCTATCAGTTAAATATTACATATTCTGGAATGATTTTACACCAAAAATATTTCCACAATAACTTGCTTTCATAGGGGTGGATCGAAGTTTTGGAACTTGTAAAGTAATCGAACAAGATTGATTTTTAGTTGTGAAGTGTTTTACAGTCACAACACAGAGGCGACAAAAGTTAATTACACATTTATCAGGCAATAATGTAGCTGTGGTAATACAAGTTACCATCTACTTACTATTTTTTTTTTCCCCAATTAACTTACTACTTAATTACTGCAACATAGTGGGCATTATTTGGCAGTATCTAGTCAATTAACTTGTATCACCACTGTAAGTAAAAAAGATCAGGATTTCAGTGGTAGTTCACAGAAGTCTTAGTTATATTTTCATCTTTACAATGACCCTGACAAATCCTAGAGAAAACTTTTTTAAAGGCTTTCCTCCTGATTCTTCAGCTTCCATCGTTCCATCATGTAATTGCTTTCAATAAATATCAAAGATCTAAATAAATATTTACAAATTATTCCTCTAACTTCTCAAAAAATAACTGAATGATTAATGGGCATATGACTCAGTCTAAGACCAATCTTTAAAAGAAACTAAAATGCGGAGACACTTTAAAAGAAAAGCTATTTAAGTAAGCTTTACATCTATTTAAAAAATTGTCTCTGAACATGGATGCAATTCATATATCTATATATAAAACAAACAAAAAGGAAATAATTTGTCAACTATCGATCCATTCCTATTGGTAATGCTTCTTAATCCAGACATTCCGCAAAATACAGACTTTTTACAAATCACGGCATCTTTAGTACAAGAAAATTAACATGCATTATTCTTCATTCTGAGTACAGTGATGGAGCTCATTATTAGGCAATGACCCATTACTACAAACATAACGGCTTCTGTGAAACTTAAGTGCTTTTTCTCCTTTTGTTATCAGGTTACAATGGACCAGGTGACACCAGATCGGGAGGCTGAAGGGGGCGTAGTAAAGGAATTTGTATTTGCCTCGTAATTCCTTGTATGAATAAAGGTAGTTGGGTTTTTTTTTGTGGTTTTTGGCTTTTCTTATTCTTGTTACAAGCACTCATGTTAGGACAAAGATGAAATGTGCAAACTTCAAAATTTAAATATTCATTTTTCTCTAAGATCCAGCTCAGTAAAAGATTACCCCAGTTCCCTGTGATTTTAAACTACAAGATCAAAGCTAATATTTTGTTATAAAAGTTATATATTGAAAAGAAATAATGAAAATAAAACACAGTCGGGAAATATTTAAGAAAAAATATGCAGGACTAGGACCTGCTGTGTCAACCCTGTTCCCTAAATTCAATCATGTACCCACTGGTATAACCAATAGATAATGCCTTTAAACAGCAAAATTAAGCTGAACAAAACCAGCTCAACAAGTTTAAGAAACAAATGTTACATCAAGGTAGTATGCTTCGTTTTCTGAGATAGTTCTATACTTCTTACATTCAGATCTAGTTTTTAAATGTTCCTTTTGTTAAACTTGCGTGTTTTTTTTTATTTTTAGATCTGCTGTTTTTAAAGATTAAAATCTTTGTAAAACCTAAAAATGTTTTAAAATTTGCTGAAAATGCAACAAATCCTCTAGTTTAAAATTATTTGAAGTAACCTGCTCCCAAGGATGTTAAATTCATTTTGCCGACAAAATTTTGGAGGAGCATTAAACAGAAGATTGAAACTACTGTGCAAAATCTCTTTTACGAAAAGTGTTTAAAGGCTGGTGCAAAATGGGAAGCAAATTCTAAACAATTTTGGCTTCTTGGAAACAAAAACCGCTGTGTCTGAGAATAGCAATCATCGGGGTGGCTTTCCAGGGGAGGAATAACCCTTTCATCTTTTCCTGCGGCAGGTACGTTTGTGTTCAGCGTGCCAGTGCTCCTGCTGACACTTGATGGAGCAGTAGGACGTGTTCCAGCAGCAGTGGTACATGGCCTCCTCTTCACAGTTGTAGCACTGGAGAGAACAAACGAGACAAGATTACCCCAATTCCAACAGCACAGGTGTTCTCACCTGCTCGAGGATGCCCTGGCACCTCTGGAGCAATGCTTCTCTCTGCTCCTGCTGGGGGCACCCGGAGGCAGGAGGGAGTTCTTCACGCCTGCCGACTAAAGCAGAGATCTTCAGCAAACCTGCACAATGCTTTCCTATCAGGCAGTGGACTGACATTTTTCATCCACACAGGGCAGGAACCATCTTTTACCCTGCATTCGTATAATGGCACTGTCATCTATGTCTTAGAAGGTACAATAAATCGACAGGCGCTTCTGGTATGAACAGGTGCTGTGCAAGCTTGAACACTGGTGTTTCTGAGGTGCCTTTACAAGTCTGACCTGTCCAGAGGTTGCTGGGGAAGATCCTTTTGAGGTAGGAAAATATCAAAATTCACAGCAATAATGTCCCTGGAGAAAAGAATAATTTGCTACCAAGCAGTTTGTTAGACTGATTAGGATAGGTCTGCAAGGAGGCTACTGTGAGACAGCACTGCAGCCTCATGAGAAGGAAACCTCAAGCTACATTGGTGCTGCTGAGAATAGCAAGGAAGTGACTTTTATTTCAAGTCTTCTGGAAACGAGAGAAGGCCTGGTGTACATGGGATGACTATAGGGGGTCTCACCCCTTGTCATGCCTGCCAGGACAGCATGAAAATCCTGAAAGAAACACGTTGCACAGCCCATGACTTCTGCAGAAATAGTTTGTTCTGGGGAGAGGTGCAGTGAAGGGGACTTCAACCCCAGAACACACAGAACACCCCGTTTCATGATAGCCGGAAGAGCCACCTGGAAAATAACCACGTGGAACTGAAAGAAGAGAATCAACATGCTGGTCAACACTGCAGGCAGTCAACAAGGAGGTAGAGGACCTAGACAGGCAATTGCCCCATCTCCAGGTGGGTTTATACCCCTTAAGGAAGTGCTGCAAAAGCATTAATATCATTCTGAGAAAATCCTGTGATCTAGGACAGCATTGCTGACAAAGGAGGCACTTAAGAGTTCTTGAGACAAGTTCTAATGATCCCAGATTTGTCTTTCTAAATTTGGTCTGCTCAAAATCAGAGAGCATCCTTACAAATCTAGCCTGCAATGGTTATTGTATTGTGGGGAACAGAGAGGGGGATATCACACAGTCTGTGCAGGCTGCTTTCAAACCACAGAATAACACACAATTCACTTTTTATGTCCTGTCTAGCTCCAGCATCGTTAATAATACAGAGATTTACAAAGGAAACAAACCCAACTGCCTTAAAACAAAACAAAAACACAACCCTACACACTACTAAAAGATACATCCAAGAAAGCCGACATTTACATTGGCTAAAGCCATAACTATTTATTTACATCAGCAATAAAGGGACTGCCCTAGCTGCATGAGAAGGCAACCTCTCCATTTTCCTTTTATAACTTAGCTCCAGGGAAGTTTATTTGTAGAAATGTCTGCAAACAAGTGTCCTCTCGAGAGCTGTTTTCCTGGCTTTTCCTGTTGCTGGCTGCCCACAAGCCTGTGGGAACCATTAGGATCATCTGCTGGAAAGGTGCATCAACAGCTGTGTCTCTCCATTACGAACAGCATGGGCCTCAGCCCAGAGACCAGCTTCACATCTGCCTGCTTGGAGAGATCAAAAAAAGCTAAGACAGGAAAGGACAACTGATCTGCAGGGCCTGTGCTTCCCTGTACATATGCTGCCCATAAGTGTGGGATGTAAATCTCTGCTTACAAAAGGAAAATAGTGTCAACTAGGCTGGTACCAGCACATGTGGCAGAGAAGGCAAAATGCCAGCTGGCCTCAGGCCTCCTCTTCTCTGTGTATTTTTTCTCTTCCTAAACATTATCAATCACTTGCAGTTCTGTTTCAAACAGTACACATCACAGACGGTGCTCATTCACTAAAAATAACCTGTTGCAAGTTAAAATAAATATATATGTAAATGTAATTGAAGGAGATAATGTTAAAAATGATCTATAAAAATAAACTATGCACCAACTTAAATGATGCTTACATGCAAATAAAAGATCTGGGAGAAACTTAAAAAGATATGTTGTCAATATTGGAACTTCAGCCTGTATTCTGGAGGCCATCAAACTGCATAATCTCATGGTTGTCGTCCCTGCCTTTACATTTCCATCCTTCATTTGCCATTTACTTGAGTTAACTGCATTAAATCAAAATTTTCTGGAGGTATAAAAATGAAATTGGCTTAAGCCAAGGGTGATCAGTTAGAGCAACAGAAAATGTTGTGCTTTCACTATGTGTTAGGCTCCTGAGGCCTGGGAGAGAGCATCTTCTCATGTGCCTGTGCGCCACCAGCAAAATGATCCCTTCACCCTGACTGGATTCTTTTTTTAGGTATGAGAAAAAGACAAATATAGGGTGGATAACAGCAGCTGTATTCCCTAGCCTAGACATCTGCATTACACAAAACCAGAGGTCTCTGCTTCTAATTAAAAAGCAAAGCCACCAAATCTCATTTAGTATGTGTGTTAATTACATGAGATTTTGGCAAGGAGGTATCATTATAATAACAGCCTACAAGAGCTGTACTACACACCAGGGACTGTCATTAGTACCACCAAGGAAAAATCAGTGGGGAGTTGTGTAATTGGAGCAACTCCAGCAGCCCGAGGCTGTGTTGGCAGGCAGATCCACCGCCTGAATGCAAAGGTGTTTATCCTTATCCTCCCGCCCCTACCACACGCAAACCAGCTGCCTGTACGTCTTCATTTAAGCTGGTGATTGACAGATAGTTCAGGGGCCACAGAAATAAGCAAGACTGTCAAACTCTCTTTATAACTTTAATTGTCTTGCTTGGAAGGAGGCTTTATACACATGATCATACGATGCAGTGATGTGGTACCAGGGCACTCCATGGTTAGCCTAAGGGATGTGGCAAAGGCACACTGGAGCAGATGAAAGCAAGTCTTGGGAGTCTGTCATAAATTCTCCATTCAAAACGCCCAAAAAGCAGCCATGGCTGAGTCCAGGCTCCCTCAAGCCGCTGCGATGGAGTTGCTGCCGCCAGCGGAACGGTGGCGAGAGCTGACAGGAGCACTCAGCTGCTGGCAGAAGAGCTCATCTGTAGTGCTGTAGTGGGCAGTTCAGCTCCCCTCTCAAGTGCCACAGGCAGAAGCACACACGCAAACACCGGCAGCTGCTGACTCAGTAAACACAGTAACTCCATCAAGATGCAGACCTGAATAACTTCTCTGGTCTGCAGAGCACGGTAGATGGGGGGATTTTCTACCTGCCAGAGACCCAAGCATTGCAGTAGTGTAACACCCACAGTAAAGTCTCTACGAGGAACAGAAAGGAAGACTCTGCAGGAGCTCCTGCATTTGAAGTAATTCTTTTTACAAAAGACCAAGATCTTAACTGTGATAGTCAGCACACAACGTCTCGCCTTAGTATTTATTTCCCTCTTCTACAGAGCACAGTTTCCTCGGCAGGGACGCTCGTTCTGTCTGTACGAACAAGGACTAACGAGGCTGAACATAAACAAACAAGCTTTTAAAGCCGAGGAGAGAAGGGAGCTGCGGGCTGGAGGCAGGGCTGGCTGTCCCCAGGCTGCAGCGGCAGTGGGACGGCGGCTGTCCATCACTGCTCAGATCAGCGTGCCATCTTGTGGCAAGGCACCCACACGCTTCTCCGAGCACCTGGCAGAATCAAAGCTCCAAAGGAGGCGAGCAGAAAATCTCGTACCCACTCTCCTGTGTACAGACAGCTACAGTGTACCGTGACTTCCCAAACGATGGCTTTTGTTTCCTAGTCCTATGAAAATTAGCGAAGGAATAGCAAAGGCTGTATGTGTGCCAGGCTCACTGCCCTCAGAGCAAGTTTCCACCCTTGCTCCGTTAGGGGCTGGCAGCACAGTATTACAGTACTTGCAATATCTGAGTAGGTGCTGTGCAGCCACGTGGGAGAACACACATCTGGGCTGAATGGAAAACAGGAGACACAAATCAAGCAAAATCAGGAAAAAGTTTGCAGTGTGTAATAGAATGGTAAGTTACATGTCTGTTTTCACTTTTCTAGAGGGCATCCAAACATATTTTTTTTAGGCAATGCTGCAGATTTGGGCTTAAGGAACTGAACAAGGGAAAGGAACATGTTTCAGAAAGTCATGTCTTAAACACAAAAGAACATAAAAGAGCTGCAGAAAAAGCTAGGAGGGGAAAAGGCCAAAAGGCTACCAGTACCAGCACTATTAGCAGGGGAATTCAAACTGATGCAGCCAGATACTGTACACTCTGGGGTTTTGAGATTAAAGATTGTGAACATAATACAAAACACGTTTTATATAGAACAAAATTGCATTTAGAAAAAAATATTTTGATACTAGCATCTTACAGAAATCAAGAAGAAGGTGCTGTTAACACTCTATAATTAAGATGAAAAGTAATCAGAGCTCTGAATTAAATTTTAGTGGTTCAGAAAATTTGAAAGCAGTAATATGAAGGAGAAAACCTTAAAGCTGAAAGACGAGTAGAGTGGTGGCGCAGTTAAAAGTAAGGAAGAAATCACTTTCCATTGGCCTGCAGTATGCATTATACATTTACACTTACTCTATTGTAATAAATTGTTGACACTTACCCACTGCTTCTTCTTGGTCTGGGAAATCAGTTGCTTGTGCTGGCCTGCTAGCTTCTTAATTTCTTCTAAAAATTCTTCTTTGCACTTCTCCTTCACCTGCTTACATTTTCTGTCCATCTCTCCTTGTGCGTTGGCCACAGCTTTATTTACAGCCTGCCTTTTCTCTTCTTCCATCTCTGTACGCAGCTGCCAGAACAAAGCCAGCAAAACAAGTCAGTGGACAGCTACTGGAATAAAGTATCTTCTTTAAACCTCTATTACTATGTGGGTGGAGGCCACATAATTAGAGATTTCGCCTATTTAGAAAAAAAAACTCTCTCCTTTAGAGTTATAACAAAATTTCCATCCCATAAGGAATGTTCAAAATAAAACTGTCACCACGTTTCTGCTCTGTTAGGCATCTACAAAAACAGCTAAATAGGTTCCATGTATATGTTGTCAATGATCAGTTTACAGATTTATGAATTTTTCTTAGACAAAGATTTTGTATTTTCCAAATCTATAACTGCATATAAATCCACAGCAAAGTCACAATGGAAAATACAAAATAGAACATCCCTGAGTTCAGGAAGAGATGCCTTTTAGTATTCAATGTCAGTGGGATTCCTTTGCCCTTGCTCGCTTATCTAAAAATTTGGTGTCTTAATCCTACAGGATTAACACTTAAACTCCCTACATTCATCACACAGTCCTTCACCCAGAAGGAAATTCATCTTAAGACAGGTGCTTAAAAGAGGTCAGACAAATCATCCTCTAAATTGTCCTGCTCTCTCCAGCCAAAGGTGACCAGCTCAGGCTTAGATATTGAATTTTAAACAGGTTATCATTAGATAAGAAAATTGAAACAAATTTCAGCAAATCTATTTAATGTTTAGGCCAGAAGATTGACAAAAGAAGAATTAATTATAAATAGCATTTAAACAATGCCATTGTTTACAACCCACTTGACAAAGAAGACAAAGGCTTTGGAAATAGATACTCATGAATGAACAATTAGTTTTGGTTTTGGATCACAGACTGATTTCACTGGACAAGAATTGATAAAAAGAAGTTTTCTGTTTCAACTAAGGTCTGCTGGTATAGAAACAGCCTAAAAAGCAATAGTTCTATGTGGCCTCTTTGGAAAAGGTTTTTAATTCCTTTTATTATGGGTGGATGTTACAAAAATAGAAAAGAATATGAAAAAAATCCACACTCCTCCTCTCCTGAAAGCAGAGTGTCGGTGGAGTTCGACGCACGTTACCTTTTCCACTGCCTCTCGCACAACTCTCTCAGTTTCTCTTTTGTGATCAGCTTTCATCCTGTCCTTGAAATCATTAAAGATTTTGGTGTATTTGTCATGGCACATGTTCTGACACACTCCATCATTACTGGTCTGGGTGCTCCGATGCAGCATTTTTGGAGAAGAGGCACTTAACTTCTTGGTCTGAGTTGAGACTGAAACTTTTTCAATGGGCTGAGGCATTGTGGGAATTTCCTGGCTTGAACTTACTGCTTCAGTTTCAGGTTCTGGCTCCTACAGAGAAAGAACAACTTGTAAATCCAGATATCAAAACAGAACAAGTTAACTTTTGGTGTCCCCTGGAGAAAAAATGTTAGATGACTGATGTCAGTGCAATGCACGTGAAAGGTGTCTGCTGAAGACCCTTAGTGCTAATGGGATGTTGGATCCCTGGGCAGGCTCCTCGGTCCAGGCGGCTGCCATCAGCCAGGAGCCCTCCAGAAGGGGGCACACACATGGCATCAGTATGCCACACTCATCAGCCTCGCTTCCCAAAGAGCACAACCAACCTCAGAGGCTATGCTGACTCACTGCAGATCCTCTGCCATTATTACTAAGGGGCTGCTATAGGTTTTTTCTCCTAGCACCCTCCCTGAAGAGACTCTAGTTGCGTGGCCGAGGTGCCTGAATTGTTTTGGCAAACTCTGGGCTTACTCTGGCCCAGGAGGCTCCACTGGAGTCTGTTAATATTCCACTGATTTCATAGAACTGCTGCAAAGATTGATTAGTACTTCAAAGGTGCTTTGAAGATGAAAGGCTTATGAGCATCTAAGTCTTGATTCCAATAATACAGAACTAGACTTGGATGACCAGAGAAGCTTTTTGTAATTACACAATTATGAAAAAAGAAACCATACTTACTGTAGTGTACTGTACTGGATTTAGTTGAGTATGTTATTATACTGTAATACCAATTGCTCCTGCTCTTTAGAACAGATAAAAGTAATATCCCTGCAAACTCTTATTGAGATTTCAAGTATCTGAAGACACAGATGAACATTATTTGGGTTTTTTTCTTTAATTTAGATTTTTTAAAGCCCATTTAACAGTGTACAGATAAAGTACAGAGTCCTTGTAACACCAGACTTGCTCAGGACTGGACTTGGTGCCTGTCTGTGATGGGGCACTGCTCACACTGATCAAAAGGCTTGAGTGTGTATTCCCTTTTGCAAGCAGTTACTCTCTAATAGGTAACTGTGACTGGCTTCTGGATCACTGATCAAATACGAGCAGAGCTAAGACGGCAAATGTTAAAGACTAGATATATGAAGCAAATCACAGCATTTGCTTGTCAGAAAACACAGTAAAAATGATGAGACATCCAAATTGTACTCTCCCGGTCTTGCACTCAAACAGTTTGTTCCCCAGGAAGCACAAAAGAAGTACTTTTTGACACAGTGTCACAGCCTCCATCGAGGAAGGTGCCTCATGTGGTATCAGATATTATGGGGAGGAAGGTGCCTAGGTATTTGGAGTGGCAATGTCTGTATTTCAGGCACCATGGCCACTCCAGATTGCTCTAGTGCTAGAAGACCTGAACCCCCCTCCATAATGGAGCCCCAAGTCCTCTTCCAAGGACTGTGCATATGTGCAACGTTTTCTTAGTGTTCAACATGCAGCTGAAACAAGGCCAGGAAAAGGACTCAGAAGCTAGGAAACAGATTTATGTCTGTCTCAGTAACTGCCCCCTTGTGTACAAACATAATAATACAGTCCCTTGGTTACATGATCCTTCAGTGTGCAAGCTGGATAAACAAGGAAGGAAGTTCCACGGGCAAAGGTGGATATGACATTTTATAAACTTAATATTCTTGATGGTGCAGAATACTTTCTCATTTCTATTTATGGACTTACCAACTAGCCTCGTCATTACAAAAAAAACCCAAACTGTTGTAACCTGATTGCTGAATTATTAATGATACAGAATATTACCATCAGTGGCTTGCATGTGGGAGGTACAATTATGTTTGTTAGCAAGGAGGACCAGGCAATGGGGCTGGAACTTCAAAAGATCAATACTGTAAAATCAGTAAAAGATGACAGAAATCGAAGGAGTGACTATTAAAATTTCAGACTTTTTGTACTTTGCTACTTCTACAGAGATGGTAATTGAGGTTACTTACTTCCTTCTTGAGTTCCATACTCTGGTTACGTCGCCCTTTCTTTGCTCTTGGTTCCTGAGTAACCTTCAGCTGTGAACATTAAGAAAAGCATATTGAAACACTCCAAAAAACAGTTCATGTAAATAGCATTCATTGAAACACAACTGATGTATCTTTTATTTGTGAACATTTGAAATAATTTCATTTAGCAAAAAGAAAGTTGAGTACTGTTCTTAAATGAGAAGTTAACACAATAAGCTTTTCACATTATCACTGATGACTGTGATTGCATGAAGGAACAAAACTCATGAACAATTTCTGACATTCCATATGTATTTGCTAAAATACCCTTAACCATTCTTTTCTTCATTTCACGTACGAGTTCAAACACTTGTTTTCTGGAATATTCTGATATTAGTGACCCATAATTAGGCAGCAGATCTTGTTCGAAGCCAAAAAACAGCAATAATTCTAAAGAGAATGTACATATGTAAAGATGGGAAGATTATCCAGACTTGTTATATGTGATTATAACTGTATGCTTGGAGGGGTACAAAATTTCATGCTTCAGAATAAAAGCCAGTCTTCACCAATAGAAATAAGGCTGACATATAAGTGGATGGTTGCATTGGATTTTGTGTGGCAAGGTTTTGGTATTGGGGGGCTACAGAGGCAGCTGCTGTGAGAAGCTGCTGGAAACTTCCCCTGGATCTGCTAGAGCCAATGCCAGCTGGCTACAAGACAGACCTGCTGCTGGCCAAGGCTACGCCAACTGGCAACGGTGGTAGTGCTTCTGTGGTAACTTATCCTCCCTTGCAGATCCCACTGTGTGATCACTGCAACCCAGTTACTCCACTTACAATGGCTTACAGAAAACTTCTGTCTTTGGAGCATCCAGTACTAGCTAGCGTTACTGACAGGATCCTGCAGATTACTGCAGAGCACTGAGTCTGGCTACTCTCACGTTCCTGCATCTGTGAAACCAGTGAATCAGGTGTAAGCATCAACCAAGTGAAGGCTGAAGAGCTGGGGTGGAACAGAAAATATGTAAATGGACACTTCAAACCCTATGATTCACTTACGAAAAAAAATGGGAAAATGGCACAGTTATCTCTCATAAATATTATTTGTGACCATTTTCCTGTTTCATCCTACATTACTGCATGACTGCATACTTGATATTAAATAAAAGGGCCACAAAGAGTTAGCTAAGCAAACCAGATGAAAAGAAACTAAAATCACCTTGATAAGGAGCATCCCCTTAAGCTTTAAGTTTTTAGCTACAAATTGGATGATAACCCTGATTGACAAAGGGCAAACAAAGAGGGTCAAAACCCGCTCATTTTTTTAAAATGCAGACTTAGAGGAAGGATAGCGCTTTTAAATGAAGAAAGAAGATGTTGCCAGGGAAAAGGCTGCCAAAAATACAGGAAAGCACCCTGCAAGCTATGAAAATCTTACTGCCAAGTCAGTAATAGTGAATATATAACACCCTCTTGGACAATGAATGACTAGCAAGGTTCAACCGTGACAAGAGAATTTCCATATGGCAACACAAAGTTTTGTATCTTGGCCCTCTGTGTTTTTCATCTTTGTTAAAGCAATATAATTTTTCTTGTTTTGGAGAATTATTTTTAATTACTTTAATCTGTTGCTGGTCACATGATCCTCAAGTGGGGTGTTTGTTCCTAACTTCAGTTGCACTTGCCAAAAATGTCATGGTTGGTGTTACTCTGGTAACACAGAATACAGTCCAAAGTGAACATACTCCCGCTGTGAAAAGGCTGAACAGCTACAGGGCTGTCCCCTGATGGGAGGCCAAGAAGACAGTGTTGCAGTCTATCTGATATCCATGACATTTAACTTGAACATTCCTATTTAACTTTAGAAATCTTCGTCTGTCTCATCAAGGTGCTATAGGTGGCAAACATTTTGAAACTTCCCAAAGGTCATCCAAGAAACTAAGGAAAAGAGAAAACTGTACTCTTGCTATTACTGAGCTACAAAACATAGGGGAAGTAAGCTTTTGAAACCTCTTCTGGCACCACAAAACAGCAGAGAGAGCACAAGGCTAATTTAATAGTAGATTAATCAAAACTATTTCATCTTTGTACCCTTTAATAAATTGTCCTGGTTGCTAACACTGCAGCACTCACCTGCTCATTGCTGGTGGAAGAGATACTTGACTCTGCCTCCTCTTCCCCTTTATCCTCATTCTTTGATTTCCAGAATCTCCCTTCACGAAGAAAACGCTGGTGCAGTTCCAACTCATCACAGGCCTTCTTCCACCCCATGCTGCGTTTGACATGCAGTCGATGGATGTTAACTGTGATATCTTGAATGTTTTCAGAGGGGATCCAGGCCCTTTTGAATACACAGTACAAACAGGTTCAAAAACATTAAATGATGAAGGATCTTGACCTGAGAAAGGGACTTCAAAAGCAGTTTTTCACAGAGGCGGATCATTGACAATTCCTTTATACTCAGGATTTTTGTATATTCAACAGAGAAAAAAAAAAAGGATTGCATATTATTAGACATTTGTGTTTTTATAAGCGCTTCTAAGCTGTGGGTGCTATGGTTGAAAGTTTCTTTCAGTTCTGGTGAGCCACAAACCTCTCCCAGCACCACCAGCAGTCACATCTCCTAACTGTTCTCTTGCTAAATGCCCTGAGTCAGACACAGAAATATCTTTATTGATGCTAATCAAATTTACCCCCTGACCTGTTTGCTAAAACTGTCAAGGAATGTACCAAATTACCACCTTGAATAGAGACACTTTGTAGTCTGGGTCCCTGTCTACCCGGACTGAACTCAGGTGGGGACTCTTCTGCTCTTTTGGACTGAATTCATGTGAGTGACTTGGTCCCAAAGGTACTTTGTCATCTCAAATATTTTCAGATTCTTCATAGAGTTAGATGGCTAGCTCTTGATGTTTTGAAAGGTTATACCAAGCAACATTGGATATTAAAGAAAAAAGAGTCACTGCCATGGACATCTACATAAGAGTAAATACTGTAACAAATTAAATGTTTGCAAACAAATTCTCAATTCTTGCAACATAAATTTCATTTCAGTGAAGTCAAAGAAACAATGTGAATTTACACCCCCCAGAAATTTGGCCTTGTGTCCAAGTTCAGCACAGTAACAAGGCAATTGCACCCTAGTCAAATGCATTTTGCCTTCTCTATCAGCACACATTTAAGAAGTTGCAAGCACCTCATCCCACAAGTTACTTTATCAAATAGTTTGAAGCTGTGTGGACTTAATGCCAAAACTACTAATGAAATAAGCTGTATTTGCAAACAGATTCAAGGTAAATCATTCTGTGACTGAGACAGGTAATGATCCTTTACCCACTTTATGCCAGTTAGAAAATCTTAGTAGTTCATATAACAAATGAAAACATTTATAGATGATGCAAGTTACACTACAAGCAATTTAAATAAACAGTCTTATAAAACACCGTTACTAAATTGTCAAGGCCCTTTTGGGATACATCAAAATATACGACCTTCCCAACAACCATGAATTACTTCACAAACGTCCCCACTCCTCACATTACAGGCACGTAAATCAAACAGGAAAAAAAATAAGTACATCCACTGTAGTAACACTACTATAACCCTCCCAAAATGGATGAACAAACAATTGGAGATGGAAGTAAAACTGATCTCTAAGAGTGAAGTTTCCAACGCAGAGAGTTAATTCTCTGAAATTGCAAACTGGCTCCTAGCAGGAGCTCTGTCAATGTTCTAGCAGTGACACAGAAACATTTGTGATTTATATTATGTTACTACAACACAAAACTGTAATGTGTCTGCTCAGAAGAGAAAACTGCATAAAGTCAATACTGCTGGTAGTAAGAGTACATTTCTGTCCCATCTTCACCTTGGTCTGGATTAGCAGGCTGCTACTGATTTGAAGAAACAGTTGAAGTTCTCTTGCTTTCTGTAAATAAAATGGCCTTAAAGAAGATCCCTGTAGCAACTGTGGAAAGGGAATCTCTGAGCAATTTGGCAACCTCAGATGTGTTAGACTGAGCTTGAAATTTTCTTAAACAATTATGGCAAAGTATTCAATCTTTCTAATGCTGGCAATTAGCTAAGCCAAGATTTTACAACATGATAGATGAGATAAAGTCTTTTAAGTATTGTTTCTAAAAAGCAGCACATGGAATTAATAAATTACCTTTGGTGGTGATGGCCAAAAAAGCGAACATCAACTTGATTGTCCTCTTTCTGCATGACTTTGGCTGGCCAAAACCCAAAGCCTTTCATTTTGGCCCAAACCAACTCATGATTAGGTATCTGGAAAAAATGTATTTATTATTGGATACGAAGTATTAAATATCTCCCAAAACTATTTTGCTCTAATACTATAATAGTATCTTAACAATATGGTTGCTGTTTATGTCTAGTGCTATTTTCATTTTTATCTTCTTACAATACATATTTCTCTGTTAGATATATTACTTGGATCAAAATGAAAAAAAAAAACCAAAGTCTGAAAAGTATGTAACTCTATTGAAAACAGAGATCTTAAGCAGCCCAAAATTTAAACTTGGCTTTATAGCTTCATCCAGGAGCAAAGTTTTATTTCTGTAAGCTCCTTATTTTCTTGTGAGACTGTTGTAACTGGCTGTTAACCAAGTTTTACAACCTATATTGTTACAGTTTTGAACCTCAATCAACAATTCGCTTGTGTAAAATATCTAGGCTTACAGAGTCTTAACCATGCTTTTGAAACAAGCCTACTGAAATGGAATATTCAATGCATTAATGACACCAAATCTGCAGGGTTTTGTACAGAAAAAGCAAACAAATAAAAATATGTGTCAGCAACATACACAAGGATAGCAGAACCAATTGTCAGGACGCGCATTTGACAAATAGAAACAGTTCTTGCAAAGCTGCAGTTCATCCAGCTGAAAAACATAAAAAAAGGTAAATAAGCCCCCAAAATTCTATTTATGTGACTTCAGTAGTATCCATCTCTCTTAAGCAGTAAAATTTTTCAGCCCTGCGTGCTAACTTGGTGGAGTTACTTCTGTCTGTACAAACTAGAGGTGTGAAACTGAGTTGAGCTGAGAGTGGAGAAAAGACAAGCTGCAGAAACATTATTTGTATTTTTGAAAAACAAGGCAGATGAAGGAAACTACTTTAACTCAATGATTTATTATAGCTAAAAGGCAAAGTATAAAAAAAATTCAACTGTAAAAATGGAGAAAGGGTGACAGTTCCCGCAGCTTTGCTTTTTGATGTCCTCTGAATATTGAGAAATATTTCAATACAGAATTTGGTAGGAATCTCACCTCAGGTTCAATTTGTATTAGCAAGTACAATTATTTCTAGTCCATCTATGTATTACTAGATCATTTTCAAAACTAAAATTTCAATATCAGTATTTTCCAAATGAGAGTTTAATTAAAAAAGAAAAAAAAAGACAAAGGAATTCTGAATCAGCTGTTAGAAAGTTAGGGGGAAACATAACATACCACACCCTTTTTATTTTTGTAATATGAAGAATAATTTTCTTTGATTTTGAAATGAAGATCAAGTATCTTGTCTACATCTTGGTCACTTAGTACTACTTACTTCATGGCATGTGTCTTTGTAAAGCATCCTCGCTATATCAGCTTGTTCACTGTCCGCTGTAAATTAAAACAAATAACATAAACAATCGCAGTATGATTACAGTGCTCAAAAAGATTTGAAGCTGTCATTGCTATGACTTTCATGGTATAATTGTCTTGCTTGAGAATACAAAACATGATTTAGTCACTTGGATAACACTTCCATTTTTCTAAGAATCTTCAAAAATTTTCTAAGAATCACTTTTCTATTTGTTTTCTCCTTCATATTTATATGCAAAAATACTGTTAGGAGCTTTTAAAAGAACAGTACAAGTACACATCTGAGAGGCAGCAACAGAGAGGGTTGCTCTTAATATGGAGCTAGTTTCTTTCTCTACTAGTCTTAATGACACACTGCACTTATCCTACAACATGGCTCTCAGCTACCACCACTTGACAGGAACACAGGCACAATTGTGTAAGCATTTCTGCTCAGGGTAATGCTTCACAGACTGTTAATCACTACGTGTTTCTCTTTACAACTGCACATTTCTCTATTAGCACATTCACATCTTTCTCGACCAGTGACACTGTGGATCTTCTGATGCTAAAAATAGGCTAGTCCCATCCTCCTCACCGTTCCCCTGATGTGGGCTATGTCTGCAAAAGAGAACCACATTTTTCCTGAAATGATGGCTCTGGAGAACCTTGTTACAGGACTTGACTACAGCTTCTGGATGTGGTGGTGTTGTTTTTCCACTTCTAATCAGACTGTCACATCATCTGAAACAGTCACTTACTACCTTCCCAGTAGCTGGAAGCATCTCTGATGGCCATACCTCCACACACTGCACCAGCAGGACGCTTCTAGTGTGGATGTAGCTATATTTGCTTCTGCAATATGGCAGATATTACCCATGAGTGAAAAATACATGTCTGTAGTACAAGTCTGTGCTAGACTGACTTATGACTTAGGCTGCAAGATAAACAGGATGGTAAAGATTTCAAAACCAAGTTTAGCCAGAGAGTATGAAAATAGTTGTGCAGTAGGTGGGCCAGAAAAGACCCTACAAATTCCTCTTGCAGCTTACTTTGGTTTTTAAGGGTTCTCAAATTACCTCATCCACACTTGAGATTATCTAATATGAAATTCAATCTTGAACTTGTTGGTTTCATACAGATACAGCTAAATCGAACAAAGCAAGCAGTAACTGTAGTATTTTACCTCCATAGAAAATCACTGTGTTGTGTAGAAGGAGCTGAGCATCTGCTTTGAACTCCTCGTAACTCCTGTACTTTCCTTCATTTACTTTCTACACAAAAGAAAACATAAGACTGTGAAAAAATGGTTGAAGTGCTGTACCTGTTTTATTCAGAGAAGCTTTCACAGAAATCTGCATTATGCAACACAGATCAGACACTGCTTTTCCTGCACTCAGGACAAATACTTAAACTCTTTGATATGGTTTGTTAGTACCTGACCATTGGCTGCACTGGTCCCTTTATGCAATGCCCAGAAGTAAAATAGGTGCTTTAATACTTCACTAAGTTAAAAAAAAATATATACTCTTGGCTATAACAGCATAAATCTGGAGTAAATCAGGTGTGGCCCAGAACACTTGTTCAAATTAAAATATACTCCCTGAGGTAAGATTTTGTAACTTAAAATACCAGCTAGTTTCAAATCAGTGTTTATTGCCTTTACACCTTCAGGATCATCACTTAATAGTTCGTTTTCTGATCAAGGCGGAATGCTTTAGTCCCTCAAACTCATAATACCTACATGGAGCCATGCAGTTAATTTTCCTAGTATGGTCTTTTGTCTGATAAGGAATGCAGCATTTTCAGTTGTACTCTGTCAAGAACACCTATGAGAATTCCAATTATCAAAAAAAACATCATCAGTTTCTAGGATGTTATGAAGGCCAGAAGACCTCCCATGGAAGCAGGTGAAGGTGACACAGTGAAAAGAAAGCTGGACCTATTTTTGGGCTCAACCAGCATTGCCAGAACTTCAAGATAGTCAGTAGTGTTGGTCTCCAAAACTGTCAGTGAAACTATTGGCTATCCATGTCTTTCAATAACAATAATAAAGCAAAGGCTTTTTACATCTCTGGTTGTAAAGGGCAAGGTGTACTATGGCACTGCATAGTAATCCAGCTGCAGCAATGAATAAAGATGAATATGCTGTTCATTTGGTCATGTGCACTTGATTTGTATGAGTCATGGTCAGACCTCTGGTTCAGAAACAAAGGACAACACATTTACTAGTACTTTATTTTTGGAACAATTAATGCAAAACAAATGTTTTAAGCCAGTCTTTTTTTTTTTTTTTTTTTTTTGTGATTAACAGAGGGATTGGTTCTTTTTGTATCATTTAGATGTTTATAAAGTTGATACCTACACAAGGACATAATGACTAAAATTGGAATGGTCAAAAACATTGGGCCAGATACACAAACATAGGCACTCAAGTCCATATTCAGTGACTTAGATAAAGGGTTCTAATAAAAGATTCTCTAAAGATTTCAGCTACCTACAGTTCCTAATAAAACCTCAGTACAAAAAGAATTGTGAAACTTTTGTCTGAAAACTAGGTACCACTCAAAATGGTTTTACTCAGCAACCTGTTTATGAGGAAATGTTTGAAATTTTAAGCTCCCGTATCCCGTGCTGGATACAATACCAAAATACTGATCATAAGAATTAGACAGGATTAGTGCTTTAGTCCTTCAGGTTTATCTTTACTGCTAAAAGACAAACATAAACAGTGTGGAAATTAGAAAGCAAGTCACTCTACCTCCTGTATAGTAGGAACATCAACAGCTGAGTGCACCAGCCTCCTATACATTGGGTGTTTGTTGTCCTTCCCTTTCTTGTTTAGATCTATAGCCTGAAAGGACCATGAGATGGTGTAAGTTATTGCATTTAGAATCTGCTTACAACACACAAAAAAAAGATTAAAAAAATGCAATATTTTGTAATATTTCAGGTGAGAAATACACAAGGCCAAATTGTGGATCCACAATCTGAGAGGTTACATGTGTCTCAAACCTGAAACTTGCCCATTTCAGAGAAGCCCATGGTGTCAACTACTCCTGCCAGAATGATACCAACCTGAGCAATAGGACCTGATATGTGTATGTGGAAGTACACACATCAGTTATGACAGGTGAAATAAAATTACACCCTCTTGTAGCCTTCCTCCCTGCACAGTCACGTGTGGCCAACTGTAATGTGTCCTCTATGGTGCTACCCAGCAATGTGAGAAACTTCCCTGTCTCAGACTCACCCGCTCCTTCATACGAGAGACTATGAATCGCAGGTATGTGCTCATCTCTTGTTTACTTGTGTTTTTCTTCTTGATACTCTGTCAGAGAAAAACACGATCATATTATTATTATTTTAAACTTGGCTTCAAAATTCATCCAACAAATTTTTTCTCTGCATCACAACATTACTCGAAAAGACGACTTTGAATCACATCACACAATTTTTTAGGGAAAGTACTTTCTGGAAAATTATTAACACTAACACATCACAACAACTACATACATTGCTTTAAATTATGTCTGGTCTGAGGACTTCAGCTACAGAAGAATTACAGGCTTTATCTGCTCTTGTATCCAAAATACTTTGTCAAAACCTCTCATGTAAAAAAATGTCTAATTAGAATAAAGCAATGAAAGGCATTTTAGGGAGTAGTTTAAAATTTACTTAATGGTCTTTTTATTAGCAAGGCATTAATATTTTCAATAAAATAAGAAAATATTTTTATAAGAATATCCTTTACCATCTACAAATTATGTGCTTGCTAGGCAAAATGACACCATTTAGCAGGAGCTCAAATAGGCTCTAGCCAGTAAAAACTCGGAGCACTTTTAACAGCTCAAGAATCATAGCAGTTGTTGATTTTTGTGGTCCTTCCTTCACAAAATCTAATCCGGATTCTGGAACACAGACTGCTTCTTTTTAGCTGTTCAGGTTCTAAAGTTTTTTCCCCCTCATCTTACACTACTATGGAGAGTTATCCCCCCCTTCAAAGCCAATTCAGGCTCGTGGGAAACACTGCATAATGAAAACATGCTGCTGAAGGGAGGGCGGCTCTCTGCAAACCCCCCGTGGGCTCTCAGGAACCAGCCTTTCCAGTCTCCGGCCACGGCAGCTGTGCACAGCTCTGCACGGCCTCAGAACAGCTGCCTGAAAAGTGCTACTCCTCCTTGCTCTTGCCTACACTGGTTCATCAAAACAAAGCACAGTGGAACAGCAGCATGGGTTCCAGGTTTATTATCCTAAAACGGCTCTTAACTGCTCACATCTCTTACAAAAACATCCTCCTCACATCTCAGAATGCATTGAGTGCCAAGCTGAGTTCTCCCCTTTCTGATACCTCCTCACATCATCATCTGTATGCAAACTGTGTGGACCAATCTGGCTCAGTTACACCTGCATCCTCAGACTTTTATGGTATTTAGCAAGATCCACATAATTGGGCAGATGACTGTTGCTTAGCTAACACAAGAAAAATCAGAATCCATGTCCTAAAAGGTAGCTGAAAGAGGTATGTGCCTTATGAATTATTAATCACTAGAAGTGTGCTGTTTTTTTCTTGAATTACTTATATATGACTCTGAACATATAGAGGGAGCAGATACATTGAGTACAGAGCAAGTACTTTTATGTATTTACTTGGCAAGAGTAAAAATTACACATTAGCACAAAAAAAAAAAAATGGATAGGATTTGATTGTGTCTCTGCTGATAGTCTTCCTGCAACACACTGAAAACACTGAAAATCCCAGTCTGGCCCTTGTGCTACAGCAGTTGTGCAACCTACACATCTCTGGATTGCACTTACTACCTTCTTCTTAAATCAAAACTGTACAGAGCACTACCAGTGAAGCTGTTTATTTGATCACTATACAGTATGCACAGAACCATTACAAACTGTGTTGAAATATCTGTTCAGCCATGAACCTACAGAGATACTACAGTATGCATAACAACACTACAGCTTCTTCCTGACAGGACACTACCACTGTTGGGTAAACCTCACTATTGTGAAAGGACCAGCACGAGGTCTAACACTTATAGTCCATTTAAGCATTCTTTCCATAATATTAATGGTTCCCTGACCTTCCATCCAAACGCTAGAAAGAGACAGATTTTAGGCTGTGCTGTATGTCTGAATCACCCTGTTTTACTTTGCTGTGAGAATGTGCATTCTGCTGGAATTCAATTCACCTATTCTGTTTTGCACAAACCAGCACTGCTACTGCAAATGCAATCCCCGACGTGCATTAAATTATCTGCATTATGAAACACTGCTGTCATTTTGTCATTTTAGGCCCTGGAGTGCTGAGTGCTTGCTAATGACACAGCATTTTAGAAGACTGAAAGTTATTAGGGCACAATAAAACTCACTTGCACTGACTAGTCCTTCTACACTTCTTTTTCTCACATGGTTCTGAATTTATCATCCTTTGGAAGTATTTCAGAATTCATGTGAACCATTTTTCATGCCCTGCTGGGCAAGACAGTTTTCAAGAGACTGTGTTAAGATAGATGGTTTAGAGTCTTATCCTTCAGATTGTAAGAAAAGATAGATAGCTGGCTTTATATCATTACTGATGTCAGCAATTACTATCAACTTAAGCATCAATGAAAATTATATAATTAACTTGCCAATTCAGGAAAACATGAATTTCTCCACTTTTCCTTCTACTCCTACCACTGATCTATTTTAAGAAAAATTTGATCTCCAGGTTCTTCTACTAAATGTTGAAAGGTCATAAATTTAGGGAATTGGAGCCTATGAGCCAGCAAAACGTCTTTTTATGGTAAGGTTGCTCACCATTTGTGGAGAGCAAGTTATAACCCAACTGCTTCATTTGCTTTTCAACAGTGATTAGCCCTTTAGGAGGTACCACTCACACATTCTTTGGAAGCTAAAAGGTAAAATGTGTCATTTTTCAATAAAAACTCTGCTACTTTGTATTTTGAAAACCTGTAGTGTTCTCAAAGAAGTCAACTTAGAGCCACTTAAAGCAAGAAAATAGATAATACTAGATGGTAGATATGATCTGCATAAAATCTATTTATATTGCTCTGATACAATGAAATATACCCACTTTCAGGTCCCTTTATAGGCAGAGTGATATAGAAGCAAGTATAAATGAAAATTAGGTCTTCTAATTTCCTGCTTTTGGAAACAGAAAATAATGATGGTGGCTTGCGAATCAGTAGAAGTGGTAAGATCCACTGTGTACCTTTCCTCCCAGTCAGATATACTAAGATAAGCTACTGCAAGCTCATCCAAGTACAGGTTTCTTTCAAGGAGACTGCCAAGATTCAATTCAGCCCCAAAAGATTGTCAGGAATTTATACTCATAGATACCCTATTTCTAGGATATGTTATCTTAACACAGGATTGTATTAGGTCTGGCTGTGATGAAGTTAATTGTCTTCATAGCAGTTTGTACGGTGTTGTGGTTTTGATCTGTGACCAAAACTGTGCTGGCAACACACCGATGTTTAGCTGCTGCCAAGCAGTGTCTGTGCAGTGTCAAGGCCTTTGCTGTTTCTCACTCTGCCCCATGGTGAACACACTGGGGGCTAACGAGGTTTGGAGGAGACACAACCAGGCAGAAGACATAACTAACTGAAGAGATATTTCATGCCATATAATGTCATGCTCAGCCATAGAAAGGGAGAGGGGGGAGTTTAAGGGCATTAGCCATCTTTTGTTTGGGAACTGGCTGAGCATCAGTCTATCCATGGAGGGTGGTGAGTGACTGCTTTCACTTCACTTGTTTTGTTTTCTTTCTCTCTTCTTACATTTCTTCACTTATTAAACAATTTTTATCCCAACCCAAAAATTTTCTTGCTTTTATTCTTCCTTTTCTCTTCCTCCATCCCACTGGGAGATGAGGAGAAGTGAGAGAACAGCTGTGTGGTGCTTAGCTGCCTACCAGGGTTACCCTACAACAAGGATGATTCCTAAGTCACACCATTTTATAGAGAAATCTGCAACCCTTCTGCTTTGCATCCAGGTAAACTGAAAGGGTTGGTCAGGCATAAGTGTTTACACAGAGGATGCAGGAGTGAAGTTAGAACTTTCACAGTAGCAATCCTCACGTAGAATATTAATGGAATCTGGTAGGTGGAAGACCAAGGCTGCAACATCTTTGCTTGAGGGTGCAGGAAATACCTTATATATGCTTTATTACCTGCAGCACATCTATTTCTTAGAAGCTGGTACCTAAAGGCTGGATTTATATTGTTGCCCATATTCAATATTCCAGATTAATAATACTGCTTAGCTGTTAGAGGGTAGTAATACACTGCACTGTGCAGTTGAGACTTATTTAGCAATTCTGATATGCTTGTAGTGCAGGAATTCCCTACAAGACTTTTCAAACCACACGAGGTTAGCAGTAGCTGGGGTAGTGCCAAGAAACACCCCATCCTGCAACAGCACCCCGAGGTAGCATATAGCTCTAAGCTCCCAGGGTGATGATGGTCGCTATGCTGCAGTTGGCAAAATCCTTCATTTGAAGAGCAAAAAAACAGACAAAATCTAAAAAATGCAAGATGTTAGTGTCAGCATTCTGTCTAGCTGTAAGCATTTAAATTGTATTTTTTCCCATGCAAAGAGATGGAGAAATCAAATATCTCCCTATAATCTCCCATTAACAAATATTTTTCCCGTCCATCTCTCAGCTGTCGTGTACACACACATCAAAGAGCTTCATTTCACTTTGGTGATGGATTAGCTGAAGGCTGCTCTATGATAGATACACGTTTCTAAGGCACCAGTTCCATTTTCAGAAGCAATTCATGTTTCCTAGGGTGCATCTGCAGAGGGGATCAATGTGAATGAGTCTAACATACATTCACCACTGCTGTTTAGAAACTCCCTGCTTTATCCACTGGCCCTTGGACTTTTTTAGGGCTTAAATTTCCAGAGGAATTTGGTGCTACATATGGAAAGCTTTACTGCTCTGCCACCCTCTCAAACTTCCAACCCTCAGGTCCTCAGGTTTCCTGTACCATTAAGAAAGGTATGCAGGCACACGGGATGGGTGTCAGAGCAACCAGTGCACCATATGCCCTAAGCAGCATACAGAGAAGCATCTGCATGAGCAGAATATGCCACAAGATCTACCTCTTTCAAGACCTCAAAACTAGACTTTTCAAAGCATTAGGTGCTTTTGTAAATGTCATGTCACAGCTGAATCCAGAAATTGGTTTTCACTAACTATGTCACCATGCATAATATTGTCTTTCTATAAAATTATTTTTAAAATTGAATTTTTGGGAAAAAAACCCCAACAACTTGGTTATCCCAACATGTGATCAATATTCTCCTGTTCATATATAAAAAAAAAAAGACAAAAAATCCCCCACCACAACAACAAAAAAACAACCTAGTATTTTTGCAGTAATTTCTACAGTAAATTAAGGTTTGAAGAAAATGAATTTCCTCCCTTTATCTAACTAAAGAGCAGCAATAAATGTACAAGTCTCCTGCGAGCTGCAGAGGTTGATTTGATTAACCCTGTCCTGAATGGACCACTCCGGTAGCAGGGAATGTAATTTCTAAGTTCATTTGATACCGAGTCTTTCTCTTGTGATCTGTCTACCAGGAATTTTACTTATAATATCAATTTATTTCACTTAAGACAATGATTAGTCAGCAGTCAGGGAAAATTTTCAATCCCTGCAATGTGGTTTGAATTGAACTTTGTTTGACTCTTGACTCCTGCTGAGAATTATGTAGGGTACAAAATATTCAGATTGGTACCATCAAGTTAAACTAAAAGCCAGAAACTGGACATGCTTGCTTATGGATGCAGTGGAGAAAAAACAACATCAGGGAAA